TGGATGTTTTAGGTGAGGAAGATCCGGCTACGAGTAGAATGCCAACAGTTGAATTGTGGGTATGCTCTGATATTGTGACATCGGGGCAGAGGATTTTTAGGACATAGATTTGATATGGATTTGGAATTGTAAATATGATTTTGAAAACAATTTGTAAACTTTCAAGTTTTATTTTCAATTATTATGTTGGTTATTGATAAATAAATATGAAGGTTTTATGTGAACCCTTTTACCAACGTTAAAAACTTTATTCTTTAAGTTTATTTATATGATTAATATTTATATGTGTTGGGGTAGTAAGGGTGTCACATAAATTCTCACTGATCCAATCCATATTAGAAGAAATTACCTTAATATAATTAATTTATGAGAAATATTAGTTTTTGATAAAGTCTGAGAATATTTCCATCAATATCACAAAAGAAATTAAATGATTATTTTTTAGTGAGATTTCTTCTTCAAATAATGATTTTTTTTATTGGGTTTGTCAAATTTTGGTGGACTAGATTTTTTTTTTCTGTTTCTAATGGTTTTGGCCTTCATTTTTTTTTAATTTTTAAAACAGTTGTTGATTTAAAATTTTAATATCAAATTAACCTTTTTTTCTCTCAATTTTAATAAACATTCACTTCACCAACTACTTACTTATTTTTTACTAGAATGGACTATACAACCAATCAGAAAATAAATATTAATTCAACTAAATGCTATATTAAATAAGAAATTTTTAGTATAATTTTTTATCTATTAAATGTTTATTGATCTATCTGCATTAACCGTAAACTATTAAAAATGAGAATGAGAGGGTATGATCAAGTTCCTGTTTGAGTTGTTTGAACAAAATATTAGAATTGTTTCGAGGACAAAACTTAAATAAATAATATATGTTATTGGTATTATTCTTCAATAAAAATAGAATTTTATTTTAGTATTATATTTATATTAAATATAATTTTTAATTATACAAGTAAAACTCTAATTTTAATTGGATATCAATTGCCAAACTTGTGTCCAACCACGTCCAATAATTTATTTTATTTATTTTGGATTCGGAAGTCCAACACAAAAACGTTAATAAGAAAAAGATATAAAAATAAAATGGGCCACATAAGCCCAATAAAAGTAGTGCTATAAAAGGAAAAAGAAAATCCCCTTTGCTTTACATTTTTTTTTTGTCTTTTCAAGAAGCTTTGGATCAAGAAGCCCCCAGGCCTGATATCCATCTCTTCAAAACAAATTTCTTTTCTATGTT